ATGTCCAATTCTCTACCTCTCTCTGGGAAGTTTTCCACTATTACTTCTGTGAAGTTTTTTTTAATATCAATTGTACTTTCTCCTGTTTTCTCATGGACTCCTATCAGTCTTATGTTATTCTTCCTTGCATCGTCTAGCAGCTGCTGGATTGATTTCTCGTGGCCCCTTACTATCTTTAAGAAATCTCTGTTTTCATGGTCTTTCACTGTAATCCTGTCTTCTATATCTGATATTCTATCTTCAGACTCCCTTAGTCTGCTCTGGATACTTTCAGTGGAGCTTTTAATCTTCTGAATATCTGTTTGAATCTGTTTCATGGATTCTATTTATTTCTTATGTTGGGCGATCATGGTTTCCATTTCTTTCTTATGCTGGGCATTCATGGCTTCCAACATTTTTCTGAGCTCATCTATTTTTTATCTGTTTCTGTTCTAGAGCCTCTAATCATGTCTTACACTCTGCTCACCATCTCTGCAGTTATCTGGGAGATTATTTCTGCTTTGAATTTTTCTAGAGGCTTATTTATCTGTTTTGTTACTTCCTGTGGTATCAGTTCAGGGTGTCCTGGTGGTTGATTATCAGACTTTTCCACCTTGTTTCCTCCAGAGTTTACCCTTGGTGGTGTGGAAGTCTGAGTTTGTGACTTGCTTAAATGTCTTCTCATTTTTGTTTTTGGTACTGTCCTTGGTTTAATTCCTGAGTTGATACTTTGAAATTGGTTATTGTAAGTATCTTTGTTGCTTGTAATTAGAACCCTTATGGAATGGTTGCTTCTTACAGGTGTCTTCCAGATATAGCTGGTCTTTAGGTTTTGAGTCTCTAATGACTCTGAGACTATCTCGTTTTCATTATACCAGGAAGGACCACTGACTAGATCAATAACTACACCTTAGCCAATCAGCAACACCATAGCATCAAGTACATCTTAGAAAATGGCAAAAATGTGGTAGTTATTAGTCTATCACCTTTAACTGTGAATTAAATCAAAATTGAGGACCAACCCATCATATGTTTATAGTGAATAAACTCTTCAATATAGCAATTTTACCCTTCAGGATGGGGAGTTAGAAGGAGTTGGGGAGGGAGGGATAGATAGGTAGAAGGACAGGGGAAGGTTAGCAGTGAGGCCAGAGGACAAGGGTGAGAGAAGGAAAAAGAGAAGAAAAGAAAAAGAAGAAATCTGAATTAGGGCCAGAACAGGAACAAAAAGGGAGATGAAGAACATTGTGGGACAGCAAGAGACTGATTGTGAGAGAGAGGGAATGGAAAGAGAAAAGAAAGAAGAAAAAAAAGAAGAGAAAAACAAATTTGCAAAGAGTAGGAAAAAAAATAAGAGAAAAAAGCAAACCAATAATACTAATTTTGGAAATAAAAAATAAAAGTGAAAATGAAGTGCCTCCTTCAGAGTATGTCTCTGCTGTCACAATAGACAAAGTGGGCAGCAGTGTGCAGATATAAGTCAATGAGTCTCAGCAAGCCAGTCACAGACCTATGCGATTCAGGCAATTTCTGGCTGCAGGTCCCAAGTTGAGCTCCCTGTCCTCCTGTAGGGTTGAACTCTGCAAGGCTCTACTGCAGGTTCCAGCTGCCCTTCCCCTGAAGATAGTCCAGGTTCTGACGGGGGGTGATGATCCCTCCAACTTACCCAGTGTGGTGGTCTGGTGGTCTGGTGTCCCCGGTGTCTTTGTAGTATGAAGCCAAGTGGCGGTACAGGCAAGAGGCCAGAGGATCTGGGGGGCGAATGGGGGGAGTGGGGGTCCTGCAGGCACCCACACGGCCAAATGGATCACTGCCTTGGCCACGAGCTGGATGGGGCAGGTGTCCTGTGACCCAGGACCTCTCTCAGGCATCCACCGATGTGCCAGGCACGAACTGGATGGGGCAGGTTCCCTGGGACCTTGTGACCTATTTTAAAGCATCACTGGTAACTACCACAGGCCTGAAAAACACGTAAGAATTAAGAGAGAGATCACCAAGGCCCCCACTTGGTAATAGGGCATCACATGACACTTACAGACATGCAAGTGAGTAACTGTAATTGCAGTGGGAAGGAGGAAAAGAAGGAATTGGAACTTCGCCTGTGGTGTGAGAGCATAAAGCTTTCAAGCTTCAAGCACAGCTACAGAGCAGACACAGGCGATTAATTGGTTTTTAAGATAAGGAGAGAAAGTAAGACTTCAGGTAGACCTCTGTAAGGAAGGGAATTTATAATGTGTAAGTAACACAGTAATGCTGGTGAAGAATGGCTTATTGTGAGTAATTTGTGTTTAATTAGAATACTTAGCTTCACGGGTCGTTCTTCTCTAATGACTCTCACTCTGAGACCACCAGGACGGGCTGGGCAGGAGCAATTATACCTTAGGAGCACCAGGAACCTTTCTCCAGGTCTGAACAGCAGTTGCTGGGTGAGAGCTTGATATGCCTCGCATTGTTTATGCAGAAGAGGCATCCAGGATGGGACTTCACAATTAATGAAAGGACACATGCTTCCAGGCTGTGAGCTTTGTGTCTTCTCAGTGAATGTGTTCTCTAGAGATTTCTCCAGCCCAAATAATGAACAATACAGGAGTTTCTTTACCAGTGGAGGTCTCCCAGGGCAGCGTACACCTGGTGGTTCCTCCTGATAGGTGAGGTAACTTAGGTAATCTCTGCCCAAGTTCTGACCTGCGTTTCCTATTTTGGACCTTGGATGCCAAAGTAAGTATATCATGAGTTTCCAGTGTTCATCAGTGACATTTTATGTGCATATCTTTTTCTCACTTCTTATTTTTTCCACTAATAACATGGATATTAATTTTTCTTACAAAAAGGTTAATTTTTCTAAAGTGTAGTCCAGATACTGTCGCCTCTTATACAAAAAATATTAGTGGCTCACAGCTACCTATAGAACAACATTTATATTTGTTAATTTCACTTCCTTTCAATACACTATAACCCAAGACAACTGAACAATTTATATTCTTTTTTTTTCACTTAGCATTTCTCACTGTTTTCTGTGTCTTTTTTCCTTGGTATCTATTTTACATGAACTACCATTTTTACCATATCTCTACCAGTTTGGACGCTCTGTTGTCTATTCTCCAAAAGGTAGGTATAACTTTTTCTTCTCCACCTTACTTTTTATTCCCTTCAAGCCAGACACTAAACTGAAAACATACTTTTTTCACTGAAACTGATTTAGCTTGAACATCTGGAAATTTAATGGCCATCACAAACTTAAACAGGATCTTGAGTCCTAAGCCAGACCCAAAGTAGGAAACATTTTCTCATGTCAGATATAGACAATTCCATATCATTGTTACAATGCCTTCTCCAAAGGTTTAGGAGTTCAACCATTCTCATAAGCAGAAAAGCCTGAATCCTTGTTTCTTATTCAAAGACTTGGAGGAGCGACAGATGGAGAAAGTGTTTGATATTTCTCTGTAGATATTTCACGTGGTGCTCTAATTTTTTAAATGTAATGTCTTAATATATTTGACTTGTTTAGTTTCTAGTAAAAGTTTCGATGCTTTGGAGTGTGCCTTGGATTTGGCCCGAGGTATTCTGCTTAAATTATTATTTATTCTCCTCATTTCCACAGAAAATAAATCAAAGGAAAATTAGAACCCATCTTCTAAAGGCCATGTAGAACAAATAAGATAAGGGTAATGGAAGCATCTTTATCTATCTAACTATATCCTAATTGCAGGATGTAAATATTTTAATAAAAAACTGAGTGAGGAAGCAGAGAAAGGGAGCTCTCATACAGGTCAGTGGGAATGTCAGTTATTAGAGCCATATGGAAAACAGTGTACAAGTTCCTCAAAAAACTAGAAAAATAACTACTACATGATCTAGCTATCTCACTCCTGGGTGTATATCCAAGGAAATTAAATCAGTATGTTGAAGAGACAGCTTAACCCCCATGTTCATTGCAGCACCATTCACAATATTAAGAAATGGAAACAACCCAAGTGTCTATTAGCTAAAGAATGGATAAAAATGTACATATCCGCAATGAAACATTAATAAACATGAAATTCATTACCTGCAGCCTCATGGATGGAACTGGAAGACATTATGTTAAGTGAAATGTCAGGCACAGTAAACAAAGACCAAGTATTCCGGTCTATATGTGGAAACTAAAGTTGCTAACAAAGAAACCGAGACTAGAGTAGCACTAACCAGAGCCAGGAAGGGGATAGGCCTGGGAGGGATGGAGATAAGGTTGTCAGAGGTTTCAGGGGGTGCTGTTGGATAGGAGGAATATATTTCAAAGTTCTCCAGTTCATAGACTAACTGTGGTTGACAACACAATTAATTTAGCATCTCAAAATAGCTAGTAGAAAGGATTTTGGATATTTCCAACACAAAAAAATTACATGTGTCTGAGATGATAGATATATCACTTAGTCTTATCTGATTATTACCCAGTATACACAAGTATTACAGTGCCACATGTACCACATAAATAGTGCAATTACCATGCGTAAATCAAAAATATATTACTATATAAAAAGATAAAACAGGGCAGAGAGCCTTTCATGATCTCTAATAATAAAATGTAAGATATTAGAAAGTGCATTATTTAGGCTAAAATTTCCAACCAGGGCCCACAAAATGAGCTGAGATAGGTTGGACAAAGCACAGAGTCATCTCAGTTTGAGAGTTCTCACAACACCTATCATATAGATAGTTGGCTCCCATGACCTTCCTCTTTCACTGCGTTTTATGATTCCTGTGGTAGGATGCTTTGTATGGCTCAGGAGCTCAGGAGTTAGTTATTGAATTAAAGAAAGAAAATCAGTATTTCTTTGTCGTATGTTGAAAATATTTAAGATTTTGAAGTCAAGCTCTGGCTTAGTAATATACTTGCTGTATGATACACACAAATCACTTAATTTTTAGTTTAGCCGCTTGTAAAAATGAATTAGTAATTACCCATAATTTGCACTTCTATTGCAAAGATGAAGGGGTATTTTTAAAACTTCATTACCACATTTTGTATTCATTTATTCAAGATACAGTTAATAAGTGATGACGCTTGGACAAGGCACAGTTCTCTGATCTTGGGGTGAATCAGTTACCAGAACGGTCAAAACCTCCGGCCATTGTGGAGTGTGCAGTGTGCAAGAAGCAGCAACAACAACGTCAGTCAATCAACTGTATAAGAAATTAAAAGGCCACAGTGCTGTGTAAAGAAGGACAAGAAGAGCAGGAGGGAAGCAGTGGACTCCTGAGGTGGTGCCACCATCTTCAGTGTGATAAGGACAATCAGTGCCTCAGTGTGTGGTGAGAGTGAGGCCACCCACGGGGGGCCCATGTCCTTGGGCAGGGTGCCAGGGCTTTTCCCAGCTGGAGCCAGGTAGGCTGCTTGGGAAGCAGGGTGGACAGGGAGAAGGGCACGGGATGGAGGCAGAGGTACAGGCATGTGGGCAGACACTAGGCTTTTTTGTGCCTCCAGCACCATTTGGCTTTTCCCTCATGTCAGCCTGGGCAATGGCTGAGCACAGATGCCACACTCTGATGTCTGCTTTGTCCACATTTACTCTGAGAAGGATAGTGAACACTAGTCTGCATCTAACAAATTGAAACTAATTTTTTTGATGATTATTCATAATTTCCTTTAATCAGAATAAACCTTTGGATGCATCTGTACTACACCAAAGTGGACAACAAAAGAAAAAGACAAGCAAGGGAATTTTAATGAGCTATTGCCACTGTCTAGCTGACAATACCAGTAATGAAGTCCTTAGGTTTTTGTTTTTCAAAGAGGTACATCTTAGAAAATGAACCAATTCTGGACTGTATAAAACTCGGTATAAAATTTTCTGTCTTCTTTTCTTAAGGGCTATGGAAATAAAAAATTTTGGGAGAATGTAAGATAATTTATTTTTCTTAAATATTGTGCTGGTTTCCAATGATGAAGGGTTTCTCTGACCTATATCTGGTGACGTGATAGAGATTCTAATGCCAACCCTGATTTTACTAATTTCAGTCTGGTTATTATATAATTTGGTTGTAGTTGTGTGGTTTCTTCCTGTAAACTCAAATTGCTTAGCAGTTCTCTCTGTTACCTGTGCTGCTTGGTATGCCCAGGAAACAAAAATCAGATTCAGCATTAGAAGTTTCTCAGGGTTTTTACTTCTCCCTGGCTTGGTAGTCCTCCCAATAGTTCCCTTTTAATCAGAAGAAACAATTTGAGTTCATCTTGTCTTATTCTAAAAGGGTCTGGAGGACCCAGTCACAGTAACTGTACTGGTTACAATTTAAATAATAACATTCTTTCTGAATAAATTACTGACATCCATGGACATTTAGTTTAAAATTGTTGTAAAAAACTCAAAAGGAATAGTCTAGGGAGAGCAATGGGCTCTAAATTACAGTTAGGACCAAGAAATTCTACTGTGCTATTGTGCAGTGGAGTGACAGTAAATAACAAAATGTACTGTACACTCTAAAAAACAAAAATATTTGGAATGTTTTTACCATAAGAAATGATAAAAATCTGAGGATATTTATATGTTTAAGCCTATTAAATATTACAGAATGTATACACATATCAAAACATCACATGGTAATCCATTAATATGTACAATTTTTACATCAATTTAAAATTAATTTTTTAAAAAAGAAATAATCCTCTACAAATTTGGCAAATGTTCATAAAAGAAAAGCTTGAATATCTTTGCCTTTAAAATCATATTATGCATCGTAGGTCCACCGAATGACACCATTCTCTGAAATGTATTTTATGCCATATTGAAGATTTATTTGATTCAGTGAAAAGGAATTAGATTTTACTTAGTTGTCTGTGTTAGTATAATCTTTTGTACACCTCTAGGATTAGTTTCTAATAAATCAAATACAAGCAAGTGATTTATTAATACTTATGTTTCACTATAGTAGTTATTCAGTTGTGACCAGAATCATGGAATGAATTCTGCGATCAGAATTGTGGAAAGAATTAAGTTTGTGAACCAAGGCACCATTGTACTTGTGTCCCCCAAAGCTATCCATGTCCTGATCCCTAGCGCTTGTGACTACACTATCTTACATGGCAAAAGGTTTCTTATAGGTGTGATTCAGTTAAGGATCTCAAAATAGGATGATCCTGGATTAATGTTTAGTTAGCTAGATCTAGCTATTCCATAACGCATCTGTACTTAAAAACATTATGTTATACACAACAAAAACATATGGTGTTACTTTTTAAATAGAACATTCACACTAGTATAAGATTAAAGGTGTAAATTGTGTCTTGGATATTTTTAAGTATATGTAGAAAATAAAATAATATTGACCTCAATGATCAAGTATTTTAGAAGCTGATAAACAGCATAGTTGTCAAGAAGAGCTGGGTGTCTGAGATTATTTCCTACCTGCAAGCCAACAGTGAGCCTGTCACAGTCTCACAGATGCTGTGTTTGAGTGAGGGACTTTATTCCTGCAGCTCAGCATGTCTGCTGACCCCAAGCAGAGCCTGCATCACTTCTCTTGCTCTCAGATCCACCAGTGGGGATATAAATAGGCCCGATGATGCTTGCACACGCAGTAGGTTCTAGTAGAGAAGAGGAGCCCCAGGCGTAGGGAACCTGAATGTTTCATGATATAGAGTAAGCACACCTGCCTTTTGGTATAGAGAAACATACTATACAATGACAATTAAGAACATATACTCAGGAGCCCGACAAGATCATAAACCTGGAAGTACCATTAATTGCATGTGAATTGGGTCAGTAATTTACCCTCTGTGATTAGTTTTCTCATCTAGTTTCCCCAATTGAATATTGTAAAGATCTAGTAAATTAATCTGTTCTTAATAGAGTAGGGCCAAACTCACAGAAAAAGCAACACCACATTTACTACTATTTGCACTGCTTTTACCAGAAGTTGTGAACCATGTCTTTGTTTCACTGCCCCACTGCTAAAGAGGAAACACTTTCTTTGCATATGCCACATGTAGTCCCTGTGAGCATTACTCTAGTGCACTAATTTTCAAGAGGAAATCTCTAAAGATGTTGAGGGACTTTTGTGTGACAACCCAACTTGAAGTAGCTTCATGCATCTCCTTTTTCCTGAGGAATTAACATGAATCAATAGGCCAGACCTTTCCTTTTCAATAGGGCTGCCTCTGTGTCTCTGCCCCCAGAACTTCCCCCAGGTCACTTCTGCAACATAGGGACAAGGGGTGCATTTTCACTGATAATCATGACATGTGGTACAAGCATGACAGATCAAGCACTGGGAAAAATATTAATTTATCAACTTTCCAGACTCTCTGCCAGGGCATTTTCCATGCCTGCTGAGTAGGACTTTCAGATTTGGGGACACAATTATATTAAAAGTTATTCATTGTTTATCTTAAATGCAAATTTAATTGGACATCTTTTTTTAACTTGCTCCATCTGTCAACCCTATAGGGAGGGCAAGGGATGCAGTTTTAAACCGTCACATAGCCCAATTTAAACAGAATATAAATGCTATACCTTATGAAATGGGCTTTTAAAGCGCTACCCAGTTCCTGGTAAATCATGTTGGCCTCCTATTACACTGGGCTCTGTAAAGACCATACAAAGTGATTGCTCAGTTAGCAGGCTCATCCCTTGGAAGGGTACATGAAGGAGAAGGGGAGAAAAATCCTTGAGCAAAACCTGCAATGTCCACCAAAACCTGTCTCACTGATGCCCCAGCAGAGGCAACAGCTCTGTCCACTGAAGCCTTCCTCTGCTCTCTTCATATCCCATGCATCACATTATGCATCTTTTCACAGACTCGTTCAACACAGGGTTTAAATTTCAAGTATAACCTTTTCCTCTTACTATAGTGATGCAGTGGCTAGATAAGGAAAAAGCGTCAAATAAGGAAAACAAATAACTTTAATTTTCTAGCAAGAAAATACTTCCACATATTGCTTGATAAAATAAATGTCTGGCACCTCTCACCATCATTTGTAGAATTCTGTGGGATTTTCATTCAGATCTTGGCTCTGATCAGCACGGAAGTGTGGACTTGAGGAAGGCTCTCAGACCTTTGGACTCTTACTCTTGGACTTTCCCTTGACAGCACCAGTGGCCCTAACCTCCCCATCCTTCCCACTGCACTGGGGTTAGTGGCCTCCCCAGCAATCTTCTCTCTGTGCTCTGCTCCAAAACTCTCAGGGCACTAATGTGGGGCACTGCAGGGCTTGTATCTTTTCTCCTCATGTCTCAGGGTCCTTGGTTGTCTGATGTCCATTGTCTTGAGAATTCTTGTTTTCTATAATTTATCAGTTTTTTTAAGAGGAGGATAAATCCAATCCTTTTGTATCTCATTTTAGTTCAAATAGAAATAAAATCTTTCTGAATTTAGGATCTTCCTAAAATGACCTATACAGATAAATTTCACTTGTTCATTTCAGGTAAAATCTCACTCCAGCCACATTGGTGTGGCCCCACTTTTCATCTTTTTCATAAGTAACAGTCAAAATGCTAAAAATTATAAATTTTTCAGAATCGGCTTTAATCAATACCTTTAATAACATTTGCCAAAATCTTCACTGGCTGCCAAAACCTCAATTCAGCTATTTTTCAAAATTTTTGCTCCAGTTTGACATCTGGTAAGGAGGAAGAGCATTTCCTGGGCTTCTGAGGGTCTCTTTTCATAATTTCTAGTGAGAACCTGCATGAAAAACACTGCCCTAAGGAACATATAGGAAAATGCTGTTTCAATTACACATACAGTTTTCTTTTTAGCAGTTTTATTATTACTCTGATTATTTAACACTGTCAATTGTACAGATTAGTGAGACTTACTGTGATATTTCTGCACATACATACACCCACCTCTACTGTCTCCCCTGCCTTTGAACCCTTCCCAGACCCTAACAGTCCTTCTGAATTGTTCTGTCCCCTCTCCTCTCTATCCTTTTACATCTCTAGTGACCACTCTTCCATTCCATACTTTTACAAGGCTGTTTGGTTTCCTTAAATGAGGAAGAACTTGTGGCATTTATCTTCTTCTGCTGGGTTTGTTTCACTCAACATAATTGATCTCCAGTTCCATCCAAGTTACTGCAAGTAATAAGATTTTAACCTTTTTTTGTGTCCATATAGCATTCCATTAAGTAACTATATCACATTTTCTTTTATCTATTCATCTGCTGAAGTATATCTGGGGTGATTCCATATTTTGACTATTATAAACAGTGCTGCAATAGAACATGAGGGCGTAGGTACTCTTTTAGTTTAAAGTTTCATCTCCTTTGTGTATGTGTAGCTAGTGGTTGAATGTCTGACTCACATAAGTAGTTCTGTTTTTAGTTCTCTGAGGACCTGCCACGTCATGTTCCATACTGGTTGCACCAACTTACATCCTCAGCAACAG